GTTTCAATTTCACTTGTTTTCCCCTAGACATATTTAACATGTTGAGTTTGGGTAACCCAACTGTAGCAATGCAGGAAACTCTCCTGATTTGCTGTTTCACAAATTTGAACTTCACACTAACCCCACAGAATGCCAAATCATATATTTAGTACCGCTGTTAGGCAGCATGATAATAACACATAAGAATGTAGCCACATTGCCACAGGCACATATATCCTTTAGAATATTCCAAACAAGAAACCACTAAGCCATAGGTATCAATCTCTCCCACAGTAGTGTGAGCTCTAATTGAAAGGTTTTGGTTTTCTTCCAACTCCTAGGGAGATATTCACAAATTCCAGAGTCTGAAGGGAACTCTAGATGGCAACTTTTACTTAAGGGCAGCGGCTCATATTCACCATCACTCCATTTCAGCCTTAATAGCATTCCTTGGTAGAGAAGGCTTTTAGGAAGGTGTTTGGCTGAATGTGCTAAGTTTTACCGAAATTTACCTAGGAAGACAATTAATGTAAAAGAAATATAGAAGTTAAAGTCAGGAGGTCACTGTTAGTAAGAAAAACAACAAATTAATAACATTCCCTTCTGAGGAGACAAATATAACCTGTTGGCTTGTTTTAACCCTTCATAAACCAGCCACAGCTCTCCATCCTCATTCAACTCATGGCAATCCATAGCAGGTGATCTTCCATGCAAAAGGAACAGCAATGCAAAACACAAACGGGTACAGATTGGGAATGAGATGATGATGGTCGAGAGCAGCACATGGTATTCCAATATTTTATTAAGTCAATACATTGTTTTTGTTAATGACAGATGACTTGAAGACATTATCACAAACCAGTATTTGTGGTTAATTTCTAAAAAAAAATGTGCAACATGTAACATCACATGTAAATGGGTAGAACTCAAAACAAAATAATCAAGGATCTACAGCTACCTGTCCTATAGAATAAGAAATGACTCAAAATGTGAGAAGTTGTTTTAACATTTTTTCAGCTAGTAGAGTGATCTTATATGTCGCCTATTATATTAGAGACTAACCACAGTAGTCAAACATATATAATGAAAAGTTCAGATATTGTCTTTGTGTGGCAATCTTCATAATCCATTTCAAAATGAAGTTTTATGTCTTCTGGGTAGGAACTTGTTTTAACTTAATAAAATCTGATTTCCTAGTTTTAAAATTGTTTTAAAAATTCTTACAGGAGTAACTTAGAAATAAGAATATACCCAAAGTTCTCAGCTTTGATAGCACAATTTTTTTTTTTTTTTAGCTGAGCCATCCTGCCACCTGTTGGCAGCTCAGCAGCTGCTCAGCTCGGGCCGGGCATCGAACCGCTGTTGCTCAGAACTCGCACTATTGAGAGAGCTCTTAACCAACTGAGCCACTCAGCCGGCCTCTTGATGGCACAACTTTTAAAAGATTTTTTTCATGCCCAAAATAATTTTAAGACCTGGGGAAACTGCTTTTATATTAGAGATGTGACATATTTTATTAAAAGTATGTATAATTGATAAATAATAATGACAAACTTTATTATAGGTTTTTTTCTACCTACGGTATAAAAATAATATTTTTGAGTGTTTGCTAAGCGTCAGACACTGTTCTACATCTTTCCACATGTATTATTTCATTTAGTTCTCCCAGTAACCCAATGCAGAGGAAGAAAGGGAGGCTCAGAAGCAAGACACCTGTGGGGGTTACACAGCTGGCAAGCAGTGGAGCCCAGGGCTACCTGTCTCCAGAGCCTAGGTTCTTACTCCTCTTCCTAGACTTCTGTTGTTGATATGATGTTTGCATAAAACAAATTCCAGACCATGTTCTATTTTCCACCTACCATCTCTCCCTGGAGAGTTCATCTATTTGCATGGTCTTCACTGTATTACTATATCCTGATGGCTTCAACATTTATATTTCAGCCTACACATCTCTCCAGTTCCAGGTCTGTATTTCAACCGTCTAAGAAATTTCTGTCCTCTTAGCTCCTTAAATTCAACATCTGTAAATGTTCTGATCATCTCCACCCTACATCCCAGACCTAGGAACATGAAATGGCACCCCCACATCCAACCAAGTATCCACAGCAGACACTCGATTCACCTTTCATGATTCCCTTTTCTCACCACACAGCCACTAAACCACAAGGCTTACTGACCTCATCTTGTGTATCTTTCAAAGCGCCCATTTCTCTCAATCCCAACTGCCACCAACCAAGTCAAAGTCACCAAAATCAGTCATTTGATTACAGTAATACCCTCTTACCTGGTCTTTATGCTTTCAATCCTGTTTCACTACAATTTAGTCTCTAACATAAAAGCCAGGCTTAGCTTTCTAAAATTCAAATCTCTATATCATTCTCCTACTTAACACCTTTCAACAGCTTCCACTGTCCCTGGAGTGAAGTTCCAATTCCCTTGGCTATTTCCCCAGCAGCCTATAACCCTGTACAAGTAAGGACTGCCTTCACCTTGCTGACTGCTGCCTTCCCGGAGTGTCACAGGGCCTGGCACGGAGTAGGCACACAGCACTAGTGATTGAATAGCTGACTGGGTGGATGAACAGTGTAATCTAGTTCTTTTCATACTTACACATTCTTAGATACAAGATATGTGTTATTTACAACTGACATTCACAAATTAAAATTCAAGTTTAACCAAATATTTTATAAACATTCTCCACCCTTGTCCATAGAAGAAGATAATAAGTAGTGTGCATTTTGGATGGCGATATTCTTTAGTGTGTGAAGTTTTTCTATATACCACCCCTGACACTGTGCATCAAGAGGGCTAGGCTGCACATTGATAATAAAAATCTCCAGAACTGTCTTTCTTTGTGATCATCCCTGGCCATGTTCTTTTAAGCACGTAGTCTTTTAAGTTCAGAATTCAATAGCACTGTAGGGAAGGGGGAGACAGGAAGACTGAAGGCATTCCAGATAAGCTTTTATTTTGTGATCATCTCAGCTATAGAAAAAGCTTCAGGAAAGTTCAGTCATTTAGTGACTTTGCAAATCCTGCTGTCTCAGTCAGCCCACCCAGGGTTCTTAAGTGTATAGTACTGAGCTAAGTGCCATCTGCAACTTCATTCATCTTTAGAGTAAATGGGATAAAACTAGAATTAGGATTTCCTCAGGACATCTTAGAGAAACGTGACAAAAACTTGGCCTCGATTATCAGGGTCCCAATGTAGAGGTCACGGTATCCCTTTAGAATCATATGGCCAACGCTGATGTGATTCCAGATACTTAATCATTGCTCTTCACATTAAGTTCCAATTATTAAAAGCTGCAGTTGCCTCTACAAACCTTCACAAATAACCAGCCTGAATAACAAATGAAAGTGACTCCCCAAGACAGTCCAACAGTGAGCAGCTGGTTTTCTTCTCAAGGCAGCCTCTCAAGGCTAGGACCTTCAATACACAGACACATATTCCCTTGATATAAAGAACATTTTCCCTGAAACCTCTCATCAATAATGCTGCCTTACATTATAAATGTGATTTTAACTGGGGATATATGGAAAAGCTTGGATTCCCTTGGAAGGTCAGTTGATATCTACTAAAACAATGCATAAACACTCTGACTTACTGTACAAGAGGCTTGAAGACAAAAGGTCAATAAGACTGAACCAAATGAATANTTTTGTTCTTCAGTCTAGTTGTGGAGGACGTTGCTTCACTGGCCCATGTTGGTATTATCATTGCGCTCTTCCCGGGTGAGGCAGATCGGTCGCCGACCGCTCACGTTGGCTGCTGGCCACTCACGGTAGCTTACGGGAGCCCACTGCAGCTCCACTGCAGCCTATGCCATTGCCGGTAACTCACGGCAGCCCAGCTCCAGGTCAAGCTGTTGTTCACCATCTTAGCTGTAGAAGGCAGTGTCACTGGCCCTAAAGTGGGATCTGAACCGGGGCCCTGATGCTCAGAACTGGCGTCCCAAGCCAACTCTTAACCAATGCGCCACTTAGCTGGCCCTATAAATGCCTTCTCAAATGCTACTTATAGGTTTAAGAACATAGAGGGCAGGACAGTTTAACTGATGAGGTTGATTTCTGATTGATAATTGCTTAAAATTGCTAACATCTTAAAAAACCCTAGCCTATCTCTTCAATTAAAAATATACATATGAAAGAAACCTGAGTAAAAAGTTAAAATAACAAGTGGAACCATTAGGAGTTTAAAAAATAATCTCACAAATTAATATCCTTGAAATCAGTTTCTTTCAAGCAAACACTCTGCTATCTAATCATCATCTCATGATATAATTAGTGCAGCATTAAGTGCAGACAAGTTCTCTGAATAAAAATTTTTAAAGTTTTGCTAATAGACATTAAAGCCCATGTGTTTGGAGGTTCAAAACGTTAACATGATATCTGAATCACGAAATGCTAAAGGATTATATATAAAATACAACAACAAAGCAATCTGTCGGATTTCTAAATAAATATTCCAGCATTTGTATATTGAAGGGCATATTATCCTCTTCAACGTAAATGTCCATATTGCCATTCTAAGTATTTCTGGAACTTATTTATCCATTCAACGAACATTTCTGGAATGATTATGACAGGTCAGACACGATACTAGGTGCTGTGAAAAGAAGAGGAACTATGAGGTGGTGCCCATGCTCTGGAAGCTCACAGTCCATAGAGGAGGCCAGAAACGAATTCAAACAGAAACATTCCTAAAAATATAACAGTGAAAATCATAAAAGATGTGAGTCAAACTGTGGTCTATAGAAGGTGTAGCCACAAGGTCCGCCTGGGTGATCGGGAAGGATGCTCATGAGGATGTGACACATGACTGTGGTCTCAAAGGATGAGCAGGACTTTACCAAGAGAAGCAGGAAGAGCAAATAGAAGGGACAGTTATGACAGGCTGGAGAATGAAAACCACACAGAGTAAGCCATGGCAGGATCTTGTGAACATTCCCAGTGATGGGGACTCTTCACCCTTTGAGTCGGGCAAAAATGACAAAGAGTGACGTTGAGAGGATAAATGGGTAATCAGACTGCACGGTATAATTTTTGCTCAAAATGATAAGAGTTTCCATAGATTTGCAGGCAATTCCAAAGAGGGTCTATAAACCTCTTGAACAATGAGAGCGTTGTTGGAATAAGCTTAGAATTTGTCTTTAGCCCTACTCACTGCTACATCCCTGGCATCTAGATAAATACTTACTGAATGAACAAACACACTAATCCACAAGACAAGATTCATTTGTATATAATAACAAATGATATTTGATTATTTCTGTAGGTATTTTATCATCATCATCATCATCATCATATATAAATCATAACATGTTCTAAAAAAAATCTTCTTTATAATCATAATTCATTTTTTCTTATTCACTTCTCTTTTTATCTCCATTAGATATCTTTGAGGACACAGACTTTGTCTTAGTCATCTTCATCGTCCTAATATTAAGAATAAGAGCAATCATAACAACTAAGTTGTATATAGCATTAATTATGTATCAGAGCTATACTAAATAGATTACACATATTAACTCATTTAATACTTACAAAGCATGTCATGTACACCATTATCATTCCCATTTAACAGGTGAGAACACTGAGGCATAGAGAGGTTCAGCACCTTGCCCAATATCAGATGACTAATAATAGAAGGTCAGGATTTGAGCCCAAGAAACTTGGCTCTAGAATCCATGCTCTTAGCTGCTATGCTATACTGTCTAGCACAGTGCCTGACATGCAGACGATAGTCATTCATATCTGAATAAATTATCCTGCTTTGTAAATTATTACTACAACGAAAATAACATTTTTCTCCACCTAGCAATGGTAATTTCCACTCCACAGACACTAGGTTCGCTGAAAGTCACTTTTGTTATTGTACCTAATATTCACATGCAAACCTATGAGGGCACTAGTTATATAGCAAGACAAAACCAAGATTCAGCAAGTATCATAAAAACATGTTTAAATACCTTCTAGTTCACCAATTTTTTTGGCAAAAACTTTCAGTTGTTTTTTCAGTTTCCGGACAGTCTTATCTTGTTTTTCAAGTTGTTCCATCAAATCCTAAAGATGAAAATGAGAAATGTAACAGAAAGATCAAAACAGGCCTTCTAAAATGCACAGAAGGAAAGCAGACACAACACGGAAACAGCACTGTTAGTTTTACAGAAAAGCTCGTCGGTGGAGCCACCACCTGGCGAAAACTAGCAGGCATGGGAAACGCAGCTACAATAAAAGCCAAACATTCAAATATTCAATGCAGTAAAATCCTTTACAGCGTGATGGATAGCAGGCTCACTGGGGAGTCATTTCCAGTAGACTGCATGTGGGTAAAGCAATTAAATGCTCATAAAATGTACTGCTATTCCAGTGGAATGTTTTCTTTTAAAAGGGAAATAGGCAAAACGAATTTTGATGAATGCACAAAAAGTTTATGAGGAGTTTTAAGGATGGCTGAACTTCAGTAGGGCTTTTGACTTTTTATTTCCATCACACTGCAAGCCTAGTATTAATAACAAACCGAACATGACAATGGACACGGGACACTGATAGAGGTGACATCACTGGCTAATAGATAGCTGTAGGGAGAAACAGGTTTCGTGAAAGTGTGTGAAGAGACTTCCTGGCGAGGGGCAGGCAGCAGTGCGCTCTTTAGGTATAGAGGGCTAAAAGTAGCAAGGAAGACAACAGACAAGCACTCAGAGTTTACATACAATCATCCGTTTGTAAAGTGAAATCCGGTATGATTGATACTTCTTAGGGTCATCTGCATATAATTCCTCAAAATACTGAAAAAACAGGCACAATGCATATTTGTTTTTCTCTGTGTCTTTAGGGGAATGCTACCTCTCAGCAAAATCAATCTTAAAATATTTTAAGACACAAATAATGAAACTGTATATACTCAAAAGGCTCTACTTTGTCACCTGTCATTGCCCTCTGGTCTTTCTAGTATCGATGATTCCAATTTTATATATATACATATCTATTTCCATATGCTCAGAGGAAACAGGCTATGGCCAGGACACCATCATTTAGCAGGTAAACAGAGCGGTGGTCCATATTCCCCAGATAAAGCTGTTACTTCACTCCTCAGACCTGTTTACAAGTTGCTGCACTTTTTTTTTTTTTTTTTTTTTTTTTTTTTGCTGCCAGCTGCAGCAACAGCAGCAGCAACAGTGGGGAAGGTGAATGAAACGAAAGTGAGAATATTGGCAATGTTGGAGCTCTTGTTTGAAGGTGAAAAGGCTGGTGAGAAGCTGTGTGCCTTCCTTCCCAAAAGGCAGCATGGGGGCGGCCTGTGACGCATGCTCCCTAGAGGAGGGAGAAAAACTATTTCTGGGCTTGTGTTGAGGGGCAGGTGGGTAGGTGGGTTACACAGGGTAGAGTTTCCAAGAACTAAACCTAGGCCCACGGCTGCTTTACCGTTCTGCTCAAGTGTATCCCAAAGAAATGCACAATTAAGATTGAGAAATTATAATGATTTTGAAAAAGTGCATTTATTCCCAGTACTTAAATTGTAACCCATTCTCTTGAATTAGCAGTCAGTGAGGCAGGAAAACCAGGAGACCTACAAAGGGTTTTCCTAAAACTCAGACAAACTCATTGACTAGACTCTACCAGCTTAGAATTTGGGGACTTGGCTTATTTTTGTATTAGCTATGGGAAATTGACAAGAAAATGAAAACTGTAGACAAAGTTGTAAGGGAAATGCTTAATTTAGTGAAAAATCTCTGGGAAAATGCCACCCAGAAGCATCTTTATTTCACGGTTTCTCCTCGTATTTTAAGACAATCATTTTATAAGCACGGAATTTATATGCTGATCAATCATTATTATATTATTGGGTTGTTGGAAAA